CTGTCTCAGGCTTTCTGTGGACTAAGTTATTCACATCTGGGCGCCATTCTGCTTGGTCTATGTAGCCAATTCTGGGTCAGCTAGGAATGTATAGTGAAACCCTTTCACAAAAAAATACTTTTTACATGTGCACAGATATACATAAAAACCATGAAGGGATGTCGATAGCAGCTTTATTTGTAATAAACATAAACTAGAGACTCCTAAATACTAATAGGTGAATGAGTAAGCTATGGTTCATCCATACAGGGTAAAAGTAATTATTACTATATGAAACAACTTGACAACTTGAATGGGTCTCAGCACTATTAATGTTGAATGAAAAGAAAAACCAATCTCAGAATTTTACATACTATATAGTTTTATTTGTAGACGTCTTAAAATTACAACTTTCAAAGTATAATTTGCCACAAAATTTACATTTAAATGTATAGTTTAATACTTTTTAAAACAAATTTACTAAGTTGCACAATCTAAAATTTAATTTGAGATCATTTCCATCACTTAATAAAATTCTTTAGCCTGTTATTGTCAACTATCCTTGCCATAGTTGCACTCATTATATGCTTCTGTAGATTTGTGAAAATGTCATAAAATAACAACATATACTATATGGACTTTTCTGTATAGTTCTGTTATGTAGCATACTAATTTGAAGTTTATCAATGATTGTTACCATGTATTAATAGTTTATAATAAAATGGTAAATAATTTCTGTTATATAGATATAATATATATGGTTATGTATTTGCCATAGATGAATATTTGTAATGTTGAGTTTTTTGTTCTCATGAATAATGATGTAATGAACATTCAGGTACATGCCTTTCTAGTAATAGGAGCGGCGGGGCTTCGTCCTGGGCACCCAGCTGCCCACATGGCTAGCTTATGCCCCGAAATAATTACACGGAAACTGTATTCTTTTAATCACTGCCTGGCCCATTAGTTATAACCTCTTATTGGCTAGCTCTTACATATTGATCTAACCCATTTCTAATATTCTGTGTAACACCACGAGCTGGCTTACCAGGAAAGATCTTAACCTGCGTCTGTCTGGAGTGGGAGAATCATGGAGTCTCAGTGACTCGGCTTCTTTCTCCCAGCATTCTGTTCTGTCTACTCCGCCTACCTAATTTTTTGTCCTATCAGGGCCAAGCAGTTTTCTTTATTAGTTAACCAATGAAAGCAACAGATAAATACAAGACCCACCTCCATCATGCCTTTGTATGGACATAGCTATATTTATTTCTCTTGGGTAAATTCATAGAAGTAGAATTGCTGGGCTCTGTGACAAATGTTTATTTAGCTTTTAAAAGAAACTACTGCTGGATGTGGCAATGCACATTTAGAGCTCATGGGAGGTGGAGACCCAAGGTCAGCCTTAGCTACGTAGAAAGTTTGATACTTGCCTTGGGTACATGAAACCCTGACTCAGAAAAGAAAAAAGAAAAGGTAAGAAATAAACTGCCAAGCTATTTTCCTGATATTTGAACTATTTTATTGTCCCATCAGCAGTTTATGAAAATGTAGCTTATATACATATAAGCATATTTATTTTGCTTGTCCTCAAAGGAGTATTTTATAGATGCTAGTTGGGAAATATCCGTGTGTGTATGTGTGTGTGTGTGTGTGTGTGTGTAAATATATATGTATATATATGTGTATGTGTATATGTATGTATAGGGTTGCTTAAATTTTCTGTGTTCTTACTGATTTTCTAGTTCTATTATCAAGAGTGGGGTCTTTAACTACTAAAGTTGAATTGTTTCTTCAGTTCTTGGTCTTTAGTTTCTGTAGTTTTTATGTCTCAGTTTGAGTTTATTTGTTTGTGTTTATTTTGTTTGGTATTCTTTCCACTTTTCAGCCAATTTTAACTTGTTTTTCTTTCAAATTTTTTGGTGTTATACTTTGTTTCTTTGTATTGTATCTGAACACAAATATTAGATCCTTTGTTATCCCATATATTCCTGATGTTTATTCTTTATTCCATTTTCCTGTCATTTAGATTGAATGATTTATTTATCTTTAAGTCTATTTTGTCTTCCATTTTAATTTTGGTTATTTCAATATCCTTTACTGACGTTTCAATTAGTTGATATTTTGTAGACTTTTTACTGGTATTTATTATTTTAGCTTTCATTTGAGAAATGGTCTCATATAATCCAGGCTGAATTTGAACTTCTAATTCTCCAGTCCCCACCTTCCAATTATTGGGATTATAAACCTGTGTCACTGTATTCATCTTATTTTGGCATTTTTTTGAATGGGTTCACATTTGATGTTGTTTATTTGAGAATTTTTATAACAGCTGATTGCTCTTTGGGCTGACGAGGGAGGGGGACTTGAATGGGGGAGGGGGAGGGAAATGGGAGGTGGTGGCGGGGAGGAGGCAGAAATCTTTTTTATTTATTTATTCATTTATTAAAGATTTCTGTCTCTTCAGAAAAAAAAAGGAGTCTGCCCCACATAACCTTTTAGTAACTGGTGACAGAATAAACAGTATTGATGGTACTGATCTCCCAGGAAGAAAGACTTCCAACTGGTGTTTAGGGAAGAGAAGTTCTATGTTCTTAGCTACACCAGTCTGGCATGAGGTCTATACTAAAGAGACAGGGAATGAATTGAGGTCAAATGCCATAGATTGACATTTATTTTAGTTTTAGTAGATTATCTTGAACAGATGTTCCTTCCTTTGCCATATGTCCTTAAGACCATTTCTAGAGGTTTCTGATGTTTGGCTATTATGGTTTTAATTGAAATAACTTTACCAGTTTTATTATATGAGTCCCCAGAACTCCATATACAAATATGCCAGAAGTAGAACTGGACAAGCCTTTTAACGTAAAGTCTTGTGTCTCTTGTCGCCCATGGTTACACAGCAGTGGCCATGGACTTGAACTTCTACCACCTTGGTAGATTGTGAGTGGCTTGAAGTCAGTATCTTTAGTCTTTATATTTAGAATCCTTATAGTGCGTACTATCATTTTTTTTTTCTGTGACTGTCATTCCTTAACTGACAAAAGTCAATTCTACTTTGTGTTTTTAATATTTCATGATTTCAAGTGTTTGTGTTTTCTTTATTCATGATCTGTGATTGTTTTAATTAACTTCTTGCTGTTGACGACTTACAAACTATCTCCTTTATCTTAATATTTCCATTTAATAAAGTGGCAAAGGATGCTACCAATCACATATATAGTAGTTCCAGTTTTGTGTTTTTCTGAATGGGTGTTTAAGGCAATTCTGAATTACATCTTAGTTTTAGATAATAAAGAATTTAAAAGTAAGGGCCTAAGTTGCTGATTTCTTTTTAAATCATCTTAGTTTAATTTAAAGAAGTATTAAATATATGATATTATACATAAACCACACTAAAATGCCTCTCTGCAGTCAAAGGCGGTATCCTTTGACATAGGGAATTCTAATTTAATTGACATTGTTAAGAATAGGCAGTTACTTCCTGATGTTTAAGCATTGTCTGTAACAAATCAGACAACACAAACTGAAAGGTAACTTCTGCTTGGTTCAGAGACAGTGACAATTTTCCCAGTGTCAAATAGAGTCAAATGTCAGTTATATAAATCTAAGTATAAAATCTTTCAGTAGGTTTTGAGGTAACAACCCAACTTTGTGGAAAGTTGAGCATTGCTAATTAAGTCCAGCCCTATCTTGAGAAAGCAGTATCAGTATTTATGCCAATTGAAATTGTTGTTTTTAGAAACATATCCACTTTACTGCGAGTCAATTTTATTTAAATCACGATGGTCCAATAAAAACATTGTTAGATGTTCATGATCTAAATTCTGGTGTATGAATTAAATTACGGTACACATTAAAAGCCACAAGACATTTGTTTTGTAATATATGGTGTTACTCATTAATAGTCTTTTTAGGATAAGCTATTATCTCCCTTCTTAATCCCAGCAAAGATCACTTTTGTTTCAGGTATGTACTTTTTGGGATTCTCCAAATACTCCATTAGTGTATTTTTTCCCTGGGTGATACCTTTGTTCTTGTTGGCATCTGTAGAAGAGAATCCAGCAGACCTGTCTTCCTCTCATACTTTTGAACAAAAATCTTTTTGGCTTCCTCAGCATCACCCATTCTTAATTTGTTCCTTGCTGTTCAACACCACTAACACTATGACCTGAAGACAGATGTTACACTTTCTCATTTTAAGTGTTTGTGTCTTCCTTAACTCTAGTGTAAGTATGTTTTCAGAAAGGTGATAGACTCAATCTGTTATTAACAACACTCAGGGAAGGACACTTGAAGCATTAGAAGATGTAGTCCAAAGTTTCACAATATTGGAACTTTTTATAAGAAAGCTTACTATGTACATAGAGATATTTTAGAATAGGTTTCTTTTTTTTTCCCCTTTGATTTTTTTCAACACACCAATTTTTTTCAAGACATGGTTTTTCTTTGTAGCTTTGGAGCCTGTCCTGGCACTTGTTCTGTAGACCAGGTTGTCCTTGAACTCAGAGGCCACCTTCCTCTGCCTCCCAAGTGCTGGAATTAAAGGCACGAGCCACCACTGCCTGGCGTAGATTAGACTTCTTGTTTGGAAAATAGGAACAAGGAAAAGGGAAAGGGGGCAGGAAGAAAGACTGTGTGGTCATTCTCTTAAAAGATGAGGTGTGTTTCCTTTCAGCCATTTTTTTATGCCTTTCAGCCTAGGCCTTTGAAAGTTACGCCTTCATGACTGCTTTTTCTTTTCATGTTCTTATTGGAGTCTCTAACTGGAGATAACTCAGCTGACACCCCCTAATTTGATTCTGGCCAGCAGTGTACCACTCAGCATCTGTAGTTTGGACTAATGTTATGGTCTCACTCAACCTTTGGAATTCTTTGAATTAATTTGTTGGGATAGTCTCACTATTATAATTTAGGATGGCTTTGAATTCATAGCAGTTCTTTAATGTCAGCCTCTCAGTATGGGCTGACATCTAGTACAAGTATATATTGATCATTTCACTCAGTGTTGTTCTCTTTCCTAGGATGCACCATGATGAAACGACAGAGACCTTTCAGCAGCAGTGAGAGTTCAGATGAATGTGAGTAGAACTAGCTAGTAACCTGTGTATCTTTGCCAACTGAGGATATCTTCTTTGACTTGAGAATAAATTGTTTCGTGTTTCCTTCAACAATTTAAATCTTTCTGAAAAGGAAAGGTCAAGATCCATTTTTTATTTATTTAATTTCATTAGAAATGTATAAATTAAATAGAAAAAAATTTAAAAAAAATAAATTGAATAGAATTGGTTTATATGTAATATAACACCTTTTTACATTAAATATGAGTATAACAAAAGCTAAATCTACCAATGCTTTAATAGAACTTCTCCTGAAAGGAAGAAAAAAGTATTGGGAATATAAACTATAGATCCTGATTTTGATTATAACTATGGTGCTAAATATTTGGTTGTGGGTCAAACATTGATTTGCTTAAAGCCTTAACAGTACCCTTAGGTAAGTGCTAAAAGATTATTTGTACCACATTCTTAGTTTTTCTATAATTTTTTTGGGGGGTGGTGGTTGTTTGTTGATAGATCGTTTTCTCCTGGCAGAACATGAATTAGGATTAACACCAAGTTGAATCTTTACAGTCATTATTAAAGCTTTTATAGTCTGGGTAGTCACTAATGTTTGACTCCATTAAGATTCTCTCTCTTGGGCACAATTGAATTTTTTCTTCATTAGTATGATATCTATGTGATCTCCTGTCTTTCATATATCTAGTTAGTTAACATCTATTTAAAGTAGTGGTTAATATGTTTCAGTATTTTTTCTAATTATCTTTTGCAGGTCCTTCTACTTCCTTTACTTCTAGCTTAATGTATAGGAAGATGTCAAAAAATCCCAAGGAGCATAAGAAGTCTGCTGAGGTGAGATTAAATATTTAATTTCACATTTAAAAGCCAATATCTACCTTCTTCCAACATACTTACAATACCCAGAATTTGAAAATGTGCAAAGTAAAATATATACCACTGGATAGATAGGCTCATTTTCTGGTAATTGTACTTAGTTTCTAAGAAATATTTCATTTTTCTTTTATGAGATGGTAATTTTTACACTGATTTCTTTTTTTGTTGTTTTTTTTGTTTGACTGGAGTTATTTTTATTTTTAAAACAATTTTATTTTACATACCAATCCCAATTCCTCTCTCCCATCCTCTCACTCCCCCTACCTTCTCCCCACCCCACAACCCCCTATCCACTCCTCAGAGAGGGTAAGGCCTCCCATGGGGAGCTAACAAACTCTGTCACATCACTTGAGGCTGAACAATCTAGGCTGAACAAGGTGAATGGGCTCCAAAAAGCCAGTTCATGTACGAGGGATAAATCCTGATCCCACTGCTAGTGGCCCCACAGACTGCTCAAGCCCCTCAACTGTCACCCATATTCAGAGGGCCTAGTCCAGTCTTATGCAGGTTCCCCAGCTGTCAGTCTGGAGTCATTGAGCTCCCACTAGCTTGAGTCAGCTGTTTCTGTGGGTATCCCCATCATGGTCTTGACTCCTTTTCTCCCTCTCTTTGACTGGACTCCAGGAGTTCAGCCCAGTACTTAGCTGTGAATCTCTGCATCTGCTTCCATCAGTTACTGGATAAAGGTTTCATGATGACAATTAAGATAGTCATCAATCTGATTACAGGGGAAGAACAGATAAGGTGGCTTCTCCACTATTGCTTAGATTCTTAGCTGGGGTCATCCTTGTGGATTCCTGGGAATTTCCGTAGTGCCTTGTTTCTCCCTAACCCCATTATGGCTCCCTCTTTCAAGGTATCACTTTCCTTGCTCTCCCTCTCTGTCCTTCACACAGCTCAACCTTCCCGAACCCTCATGTTTTCCTACCCACTCCCCTAATACCCTCCCTCATGCTGTCAGTTTATGAAGGAGATCTTGTCTACTTCCTCTCTCCTGAGGAATCTGTGTATGTCTCTCTTAGGGTTCTCCTTGTTTCCTGTCTTCTTGGGGGTTGTGGACTGTAGACTGATTATCCTTTGCTTTATGTTTAATATCCACTTAGGAGTAAGTGCATACCATGTTTGTCTTTCTGAGTCTGGGTTACCTCACTCAGGATGGTTTTTTTTCTGGTTCCATCCATTTTTCTGGAAATTTCAAGATGTTATTGTTTTTTACCACTGAGTAGTATGTGTGTGTGTATTACATATATATATGTATATATATAAATCACTTTCTTTATCTATTCTTCGGTTGAGGGGCATCTAGGTTGTTTCCAGGTTCTGGCTGTTATAAATAATGCTAGGAACATAATTGAGCACATGTCCTTGTAGTATGATTGAGCATCCTTTGGGTATATACCCAAAAGTGGTATTGCTGAGTCTTGAGGTAGATTGATTCCCAATTTTCTGAGAAACTGTCATACTGATTTCCAAAGTGGCTGAGCAAGTTTGCACTGCCACCAGCGATGAAGGAATGTTCCCCTTACTCCACATCCTCTCCAGCATACGCTTTCATTAGTGTTTTTGATCTTAGCCATTCTGACAGGTGTAAGATGATATCTCAAAAAAAAAGATGATATCTCAGAGTTATTTTGATTTGCATTTCCCTGATGGCTAAGTATGTTCAGCATTTGCTTAAGTGTCTTTTGGCCATTTGAGATTTCTCTGTTGAGAATTCTCTGTTCAGTTCAGTGCCCCATTTTCTTTTAAAATTGGATTATTTTGTAGTTTGATATCTAGTTTCTTTAGGAGGTTTTTTTTTTTGTATATTTTGGAGATCAACCCTCTATCAGATGTGGAGTTGGTAAAGATTCTTTTCCATTCTATAAAAGTTGCTGTTTTGTCTTGTTGACCATGTCCTTTGCCTTACAGAAACTTCTTAGTTTCAGGAAGTCCGATTTACCTATTGTTACTCTCCGTGTCTGTGCTACTGGGGTTATATTTAGGAAGTGGTCTCTTGTGCCAATGCGTTTAAGTGTACATTCCACTTTCTCTTCTATTAGGTTCAGTGTAACTGGATTTATGTTGAGATCTTTGATCCATTTGGACTTGAGTTTTGTGCATGGGGATAGATATGGATCTATTTGCATTCTTCTACATGTTGACATCCAGTTATGCCAGCACCATTTGTTGAAGATGCTTTCTTTTTTCCATTGTATAATTTTAACTTCTTTGTCAAATGTCAGGTATTTATAGGTGTGTAGATTAATATTAAGCTCTAGAGCTTAGAGGGTAGGGCCTTCTAGCTGGGAATCCAGACACTCACCTCTCAAAGTGTAAGTGGGGCCAAGGCTCTGATGGTCTCAGATGCAGTAGGGGATGGTTGCAGGTGTGGGGAGTCTCCTCTCAGGCCTCTGGAACTTTTCTGGGTGGGGATGGGGCACAGATGTACCTCCAAGGGCGAGGGCCTAGAGAATAGGGCCCTCTAGCCAGTGACCCAGACACTCTCTTAACACTGATTTCATTTGAGGAATTAGTTCCCAGCTCTACAGCAGTTCTCTCCGAACCAGGAAATCAGAGAGAGCTAGACTTGGAGATCTATGAAGTATCTCAAACTCTTATAGCCTAGTGTTGAAAAAAGTTACATTAGAGGATGGGAGATAGTGCAAGAAGAGGCTAGGTAAAGAGGTTGTATTTGGAGAGGGAAGGGCTGAGTCCTGACAGCTTTTCAAATACTACTAGCTCACTTCTCTGATGCTGGTCATCTGCCCCAAGATCATCAAACTATCAGAATTATACTTGCATTTAGTGGATCATACAGACTTTCCTCAGTGGAAATTAAATTATGAAAAATTGACCCTGTGCTCCTTCAGTTTTACTAGGAGTAAACATTTTTGGCTATAAAGAAAAAAAGAGTGCATTAGTTATCTGTTCCTGCATTGGCAATAATCACAAGATTTATGGCTTAAAACAGTATACATTTATTATCTCAGTTTCTGTGAGTAAGGAGTCTGTACTGAGTGTGGCTAGATTCTGTGTTCATAGTCTTTCAAGGCTGCAAACTCTGTGTTCACTGGGATGTTCTCATTGGAGATTAGAAAAGAATTCACTTTCAAGTTATAGGCAGAATTCCTTTCCTTGAAGCTGAAAGACTTGAGATCCTTGTTTTCTTGCAGTCTTTTGACAGAAAGCACCCAGTACCTAAAAGATATTATAGTTTCTTGCAATTTGGCCTTCTCTCACAACAGGGCCACTTTCTCAGAGGCAACAAAGAGAATCTTTCTATTCCATATGCTAAACTGAAATTTTATATGACATCAGTATTTTTTAATTGTTTTATCTTCTAAAACATTTGCAGTAGTCTATGATTAGAAGCAAATCATAGGTTCCACTCATTCTCACAAAAATAGAGTAACTGATGGGTATTATTTTTCAGATATATCCACCAGAGAGCATTTCTTCCTTTCTCAGTTGTCACCATCTCCCTTTATTATTTTGTCAGGGATCTTTGTGTGCCTGGTTGAATGTCAGGGTATTTTTTATGTGTCTACCATACAGGGAAAACTTAGGGAATATAATGCACAAAAACTATAGTGGAGGGGACTGGAAAGATGGCTCACAATTAAGAACACTGGCTTTTCTTCAAAAGGATTTAGGTTAAGCTCACAACCATCTGTAATTCCACTTCCAGGAGATCTGATACCTTCTCAGGCACTGGGCACACATGTATTATACATACATATATGCAGACAAAACACTCATACACATATAAGAATAAATCTTAAAAAACATTTTAAGAACAATATTGAGTGTTCAATAGAATTTTCTTTAGTTTGGGTTTGTCCCATATTTGTCTTATGATTAGACTATAATTAAGTTTTGGGAGAATGATATAATGGGATGAAGAGCCCTTCTTGTCACATTATATCAAGGATTATTATTTGATTAACATGAGGTTTCTCCAGTATAACATTACTTTTTTTCTCCCTTTATCTTGTTCTTTTCACTAAGACTGGTATACTAAAATACAGAAATGATGTTAGGCAAAGATTCACTTGCTGAAGGAAAGAGTTAACAAATACATTTGATAATATTCTGTAGAAATTTATATCTTCTCACTGACTTAAAAAAAAATATAGGGCTGATAAGATGGTTCAGTGGGTAAAGGCACTTGGTGCCAAGTCTGAGAACCTAATTCTACCTCCAGAAGTCACGTGGTAGAAGGAGAGAACCAACTCCAGCAAGTTGTCCTCTGATCATGACACTTGAGTTGTGGCACATCCACACACACACACCATGTGTACTCAATGAAAAAAAATTTAATTATATAACTTTTTAATATGGGCTTATATGTATTTGCTTTATATTTTAGGTTTTTCATAAGTATTAGATATTGAACCTATGCCTTGTGCATGCTAGACAAGTACTGTATTATTGAGCTACATCTCTACCCTACTTTATATTTTGGATTTATATATTTAGATCTTACATAATTTTTTAGTTCTTTATTTACAACCAAGTCACTCTTTCTTCTCCTTCCTCTCCTCCTAGTCCCCCTCCCACATCCCCTCTACCCCCCCATCCACTCTTCCTCAATTTCTATTAAGAGGAGGGCAGGCCTCCCATAGATATCAACCAAATATGAAGTATCAAGTTGAAATCTGGACAAGGCAGCCCAGTATGAGGATGATGGTCCCAAACGCCAGCAAAAAGTTAGAAACAGCCTCTGCTCCCACTGTTAGGAATCTCACAAGAAGACCAAGCTATACAAATGTAACATATATGCAAAGGGCCTAAATCAGTCCCATGCAGACTCCCTGGTTGTTGGTTCAGACTCTGTGAGCCCCTGAGCCCAGGTTAGTGATTCTGTGGGTTTTCTTGGGGTGTCCTTGACCCCTCTGACTCCAATAATCCTTCACTAGGAGTCTCTTACCTGCCACATCATACTTATTCATATCCTTCTTACCCTTGAGTAGTTCACTGATAGTGAAAAACATGGATAAGCTGGCTAAAATAAAGTCTTGAGTATAAAGATAACTAGAATAAAACTATCAACTTTCTTTTTTTTTGTTTTGTTTTTTCGAGACAGGGTTTCTCTGTGGCTTTGGAGCCTGTCCTGGCACTAGCTCTTGTAGACCAGGCTGGTCTCGAACTCACAGAGATCCGCCTGCCTCTGCCTCCCGAGTGCTGGGATTAAAGGCGTGCGCCACCACCGCCCGGCTAAACTATCAACTTTCTGAAGTGTAATGTATCTCTAGGTGCACAAACATGCACTTGTATTTGCATGTGAGTAAAAAAATGCGCATCTGATGGAGAAAGAAAGAAACATAGAAAACTATAATGCATGTAATTGTAAAATATGATACAGTTGAAGAATTATGCATGGTGGTTCATGTCTATAATACTAGTACATAGGAGGCTAAGGCAGGAGGATTGCCTCAAGTTTGAGACCAGCCTGGACTACAGTATTAAGTCCTGCTTTACAAAAAAAAAACAAACAACAAAATGGGAGAATGGATAAAGCAGCTCAGTGGTAGATGTGAAGCCCAGGGTTGAATGTCCAGCACCACAGGTGGAAAAGTTAAACGGACTATATCTTAAAGTATCAGATAGATTAAGTAAATGAAAACAAATCAGAAAATAGAAGTTCTAAAGAACATACATAGTAAAGTAGATCTAACTAATATCTATCAAATTGTATTTTTACCAAAATAGACAGTAAAGAATATACCTTCCGGGCTGGAGAGATGGCTCAGAGGTTAAGAGCACTGACTGCTCTTCCAGAGGTCCTGAGATCAATTCCAGCAACCACATGGTGGCTCACAGCCATTTATAATGAAATCTGGTGCCCTCTTCTGGCCTGCAGGCATACATAGAAGGAATGTTGTATACATAATAAATAAATAAATAAATAAATAAATAAATCTTTAAAAAAAAAGAATATACCTTCCTCAGGTACCCTGAAAGTACATATCCAGAATAAGATAAAATATTTTTATAAAACATCAATAATTTCCTTTAAATAGGAAACAAGCAACTATTACAATTTGAGAAGCAAGGTATTTTTAGGCTTCTAAGTGTCTAGTCTAAGATATTTACATTACAAAAGGAATTTATGCTAACCTAACAGCAATAAAAACCAAGAAATTTGACAAGATACCGTCTGAATTGAGTAGTCATATTTCAGTAAAGAAGACATTTAACAACATACACCTCTGATATATTAACATAAGAACACAGCAATTTTTCTGTGATACTCTTACTAAAAGAAGCCTAAAACCCAAACATGTATAGTCTCAAACCAGTAAGAACATACCAGACAAATCCCGCACTCCAAAATATCTTACAAATACTCTTCAAGTGTCATGAAAGACAGGAAAAGATTGAGACATTGTCACAGATTAGAAGATTCTAGGAAGGTACAACTATGTTGTAATATAGAATCCTGGGTTGGACTCCAAAGCAAATAGATGCTATGGAAAAATGGTGAAAATTGAAGTCTATAGATTAGGCAATAGTATATTGTAATGTTAATTTATTAGTTTAGGAGCCAGTATAACAACTTGGGCCTGTAATCCCAGCAATTACAAGGCTTGAAGTAGGAGGATTCCTGCAAATTCTAGATCAACCTTAGCTAGTGTGATCTTTTTTTCAAAATTAAATAAGAATATTTCTGGTTTAGATAAATTTATTCTAAGGCCAGGTATCCTGGCATATGCCCTTAGTCCCAACATTAAGATCCAGAGGCAGAAGAATCACTTAATTTGAGGCCAAACTGGTGGTCTACCTAGCAAGTTCGAGGTCAGTCAGGGCTATGCAATGAGACCCTGTGTCAAAGCAAAAAAAAAAAAAAAGAGCAATTTACCCTGTATTTAAGATGTTAATATTGTGCAAAACTAACTGAAGAATACATAAGAATGCTGTGCCATTTTTATAATTTTTGTACAGGATTTAAGACTGTAGGCCATGGTGGTCTCAGAATAATTATTTCTAAGTAAAATTTTAAATGAGATAATGCCTAAATGTAAATTATCAGGAGATATGTGTTACTTTAAGAGAGTTAATGATTGTTTCTCTTATTAAAATAAAAAGCTTCTTTGGAATAACCTACAATTGTTTATTTAAATTCAAGGAGCCAAAAAATGCTGGAAGGACTCCTTTTACCCTTCATTAAATCCAGTCAGTATGCCAAATCTTCCCAAACAGAAGTTGTCATGCCCATTTAGGAATCAGGAGATGTTTCTCCTAATAGAAATAGATATTGAGCATGGATAATTGTTTTTATTTTTTTCTCTAGGATAATTGTTTTTTTTTTAATATTTATTTATTTATTATGTATACAATATTCTGTCTGTGTGTATATCTGCAGGCCAGCAGAGGGCACCAGACCTCATTACAGATGGTTGTGAGCCACCATGTGGTTGCTGGGAATTGAACTCAGGACCTTTGGAAGAGCAGGCAATGCTCTTAACCACTGAGCCATCTCTCTAGCCCTAGGATAATTGTTTTTAAAAGAACATTAAACAGTATCAGTTTCATAGTGATTTTAAAGTATGTGCAATGTGTCTTCCCAGGTATTCCGAAAGGACCTCATCAGTGCGATGAAAATTCCTGACTCTCACCATGTTAATCCTGACAGCTATTACCTCTTTACTGACACATGGAAAGAAGAGTGGGAAAAGGGAGTACAAGTACCAGCCAATCCAGACTCTGTTCCAACACCTTCTCTCAGGTATTGGCGTGTTTACAACTTTGACCTAGGAAAAGAGCTCTTTTAGTTTTTTGTGTGTTTTCTTGTGGTGAAACTGAGGAGTAGCTACACATTTCTAACATACAAAGTTAACCTAACTATTAAACCAGGTCGTGATTGATCAGTAAATTTCAGCTCATTTATCTAAGAAATTTATAAGATGAAATGCTCTGGAGGCCAATCTAAAATTAGGAAAAGATTTCCCCAAGATTTACATATCTGACTCAGCCATCAGTAGCATTTATTAGTCTTTGAAGAGATAACTTTCTCATAGGAAATTGCTTCAATGTAAGTGGAGTCTCATTAGTGATGGTACTACTACTAAGTAACCAAAGCATATAGCTTCGAAAACAGGAACTCAAATGAAAAGGGAGTAATAGAATAGTTGGGGTGACTGTAAGCACATAACCTTCACTTTAAAGACTCGAAAACAGTTAAGATAGAAAGACTGATTTTGTGGAAAAGAGGTTTTATTCCAAAGGAATTTGTAAGCTCTTCAAAGTAATGCTGGTTTTAGAAACCATTTTATCCTACTGATTTTGGTATTCCCAGTGCTCTACACAAGTCTGACGTGAAGTAGAATGTTCAGTATAAGTCTGAGCGAATGCAAGAATTAATAAATAGAACACACAGCTCCAGATGAAGGAATGGTAGAACGTGTTGGTTACTGTAAGAAAGTATAAATCTCATTCTACATTTATTTCTACTTCTTAATAAAATACTTTATTTGAGATAGTGTCTCACTATATAGCCTAGGCAGGCCTTGAACTTACTGTATAGCCCAGTATAGCCTCAAACTACTGTTCTTCTGCCTTAGCCCTCTGAGTACTGGGATTCCAAGCGTATGTCATCATGCCTAATACATGTTAGTTTCTTTCTTTCTATTTTGTTTTGTTTGTTTTGTTTTGTTTTTCAAGACAGGGTTTCTCTATGTAGCTTTGGAGCCTGTCGTAGAACTCATTCTGTAGACCAGGCTAGTCTTGAACTCACAGAGATCCACCTGCCTCTGCTTCCCGAGTGCTGGGATTAAGGGTGTGCGCCACCACCACCTAGCACATGTTAGTTTCTTAAAGGCTAGAGATAAACATCCCCAATTTCTCTACTCTTGTCAGCATGTTCTTTTTTTTAATATTTATTTTATTTATTTATTATGTATACAATACTCTGTCTGTGTGTATGCGTGCAGGCCAGAAGAGGGCACCAGACCTCATTACAGATGGTTGTGAGCCACCATGTGGTTGCCGGGAATTGAACTCAGGACCTTTGGAAGAGCAGGCAATGCTCTTAACCACTGAGCCATCTCTCCAGCCCCTGTCAGCATGTTCTTACGTCCTGCTAATGCTCTAGAAGTGCCTATTGAATCACTTCTAGGAATGCAGGCCCAGGCACCCCACACTCAGTTAAGGAAAACTCCCAAACCCTTTCTAGTTTAACACACGTTCCGAGCTTCACTTGTTTATCATTGATACCGTCTCCTACTTCCTAAACAGAGTAACACCAGGAATGAAAAAGAAGAGAGAGGGACATATTTTCATGTCTTTGCTGTCATATTTTTTACATAAATATAATGGCCCTAGCACTGTATTTCCATTAACACTCCAAGGATTATTGAAACACCTCAATGTTTGGCCTTAATATTAAGTCAGTATATCAAATATACTTTATTGGGGTGAGTTTAATTTTTGCAAGTTAAGTGGAGAATGTACTACTTTAAAAATTATATCTATCTGATAAGTAGCACAACAAAATTAGGATGATTTAATAAGAGTAAATTTAGACACTGAGAGTTAGCTTCCTCTCACAGAGACATATACTCCCTAATTCATATGAGCACTCTGCTCTAATATTTTTTCTGAGAGTTTAGGATATTTATCATTTTATATGTTGTAATTTTTAGTAAATACCCTCTATTTCCCATAGTTCTTTGCCTATCTTATAAAGCCCTTAATTTTAATTGATCAAGGTAAGCTACTAAATTAATTAATGATCATATAAATTCCTTAACGAAATTCAGAACTGGTTGCTCTTGATAGGTAGATTGTATTTTCAGTTTCTTAGAAGGTATCAGTAATTTTGTAATATATATTTCCTTTGCTTAGCAAAGGTACCTGAAAGATTTGTTAAAGCAGATTTCTTGCTGGAGGCATGGTGGTACATGCCTTTTATCCCTGTATTTGTGAAGCAGAGGCAGACAAACTTATCTCTATTACTACATAGCAAGTTCCCAGACTAGCCATGGCTACACATAGTGAACCTAGTCTCAAAGAAGACTTTTAAATCATATCCTCAGAGTTTTTGATTTGGTAACTCTGAAGTGTGAGGCTTAAGTTTGTTTTGTTTTGTTGATCTACATAGGGTATCACTGTGTAGCTCCTTGCCACCTCCTGTGCTGGGATTCCCAAGTGTTGGAATTACAGACATGTCTAGCAGTTTCTCGCACAATGTTTATACCAATAGTCTAGAGTATGACACTTTGGGAACAATTTTTATGGAATATGTTAATCATATTTGCTGAACTTAATTGAATTTAGCATGTGTGTGTCTGTGTGTGTATGCACACATGCACATTTAAGTACAAGCATGTGGAGTTCCAAAAACAGCCTTGGATGTCATTCTTCAGGTGACATCCATCTTTTTTATATGAATTTTGATTTGTATTTATTTTATGCTAAATTTATTCCCAAGCCATAAGTGTTCATTCTTCTTCAGGGATACCTTTTTATTCTGTGCAACTTCTGACTTAAAAACAATTTGTTCATTCTTAGTGATGATCATCTCAGTGTGACAGAGGCCATTCATGTGTGGGTTAATCAGACCATGAACTCTAAGTTCAACAGCCCTTCTTAGATACTTTGTTAACCTGTATGTGTTCAATGACTACAGATTCTACATCTAAAACCTTAAGTTCAGTATTATTCTGTGTGTTTTTAAGTATATGGAGCAAAAATTCAGCATTGTTTTTGAAACACAGACCCGGTCCAGCCCCACTGCTTGACCTGGGCACAATATACTACCAGAAAGGCACACATTACTTTTTTAAAGTGACATAGTTAGTCTTTTCTGATATGCATGCCCTTGATGACCTAGACAGCTTCAAGGGAACACAAAGATTTGATCCTCTTTATTTGTATGGTTTTATAGAGTTTTCTGGGCCAAGAAAATAGTAAACTATTTAATTAAGTCACCTCAAGCTGCTTAGAGGAAGAAGCCTTAATCTTTTTTTTTTTTTCTGAGACAGGGTTTCTCTGTAGAGTTTGGAGCCTGTCCTGGAACTAGCTCTTGTAGCCCAGGCTGGCCTCAAACTCACAGAGATCCGCCTGCCTCTGCCTCCCGAGTGCTGGGATTAATGGCATGTGCCACCATTTCCCGGTTCTTTTTTCTTTTTTAAAGGCAGTGTCTCCATGGTCTGAAATTCTCCAAATATGATGACTGGAGAATTTCCAGTAAGCCCCAGGGAATCAGCCTGTCTCCATTTTCCCAGTGCTGAGATTACAAGAACACACCACTATGCCAGGCTTCTTTTTTTTGTTGTTTGCTTATTTTATGAGGGTTCTATGTATCAAACACAGGTTCTTGTGTTTGTAAAGCATGCACTTTACCACCTAATGTATCTTCCTAGCCCCTGGAGTTTGTACTTTTGTAAGATTCTTTGAATATTCCCCTTTGGCTTTAAGTAGTAATCAACCATATTTAGAGGCTCAATTACAGAATTGGAACTTTATGTTTGAAGTACCTGATCTCAGTTATAACTACTTATTGCACCTGCTACTCTTAATAACCATATTTTTCAGAAGCCAAACTGTTCTATGGTTTCTTTGGCCTTTGTAGGCCACCTTCAAAAATTAAGTCTTGCCTGATGGTGGCGGCACATTGTCTCTTACCTCAGCACTCAGAAGGCAGAGACAGTCAGATATCTGTGAGTTTGAGACCAGCCTAGTCTACAAGCGAGTTCCAGGACAGGCTCCAAAACTACAGAGACACCCTATCTTGAAAAAAAAATTTAAAAATATAAACAAACAAATCAATAAAAAGCAAAAATTAAGTCTCTATGACATGATATTAGAATATTGAAAAAGAATACATTTCTATGCCTTCATCTATATTTTCAAAGACAAATTTAAAGGAGGTGGAAATTTTTAATTAAAAAAAAAAGACAAATTTAACCAGGTTGGTGTGTACAATATTTAGGAAGCAAAAGTTCTAAGCCAACCTGGACATAATGAGACACTAACTCAAAAAATAAAATCAAATTAATTAAGTTTTATGTTATTGTATCAGGTTTATTTGATCCCATAACATCAAATGGCTGCAAGACTGGCTTCTGTATATGACCTGATTCTCTTTAGTGGAATGTATCTTCATGTTGTTTGATAATTTTCTGATTCATTGTGGGTTTTTTTTTTTGCTTTTAAATTTTTTAGTCACACACACTTGTATGTGGAGGTGAGGAAATAACTTTCAGAAGTCAATTCTCTCCATCTCCATGTGGGATCAAGGAATTAATCTCAGGTCATTAGGCTTGGTGGCAAGTGTCCTTAATTATGGAGCCACCTTGACAGCATTATTAATATTGAGTTAGTAATATTGGTTTATTGAGTCTTCGAACTATTTTTACATTTACAGTATGAATCATTTGTCAAATATATAGTTTGCTCCCAGTGTGACAGTGCACATCTTTAATCCCTATCTCTTGGGAGGCAGTGCAGGCAGATCTCTGGTAGTTCAAGGCCAGCTTGGTCTACTATCTAGTTCTAGGATAGACAGCCTCTGCCTCAAAAAATGTGGTTTGTATTTACTTTCTTACAGCTTATTATAGATGCAAATTGTCTTTCCATTTGTTTAATAGTCTTTTAGAAAGTAAAGGTATTTTTACTCCAGGTCATTTTTTTTCTTTTAGGATGTTTTTAGTGTCAAATCTATGAATTTTCACCTACCTTCCATCCATTTCAAAGAGTTTCATATGTGTTTCTTTTAACAATTTT